ATTTCCTCCAAAATTAGTCCAAAGTCCCTCCAAATTGAATCCGAAGTTCCTCCAAGTCTAATCCAATGTCTCTCCAAAATGAACCCAAGTCACTCCAAAAGTGCTCCAAAACTCTTCCGAAATTCCTCCAAAATGGATCCAAATCTGATCCTAAATTTTGTCTCAGCATGCAGTCCGCTGCAGTCCGACTTAGGCAAAAACTTCTGGACTGCTTTTGGAATGGTTTTGGATCAGAATTGGATCCATTGTGGAGGAATTTTGGATGTATCCGGACAACTTCTTGCTCACTGGGTGCTATATGGTTGTGAATAATCTTGAAAAATATATTTTTTGATTCATATATATATATTTTTGTGTAGATTTTTTTTGGAAAACAGCAACAAAGAACACAAACCTTCTGTGTTCTGAGACATTTGTCTCAGAAGTCCTCAGAACATAGGAATTTTCACATCCAGCAGTGTTCATATGACCATTGTTGCATGTGACAATTTTCAAGAATTGAAAATAATCAAAATTGATGATGAGAAACTCTGTGTTTGGCAATTCAACACTCCATCAATAAATCAGTTAATATAATCTTTAATGCATGAAAAATTTGCTGGCCTCAGGAGCATTCAAATGAATTATAATTTTATCCCCCTCTCTCAAATTTTTCAGCATTCCCTTTCTGTTGTTCAACCTTCTCTAATTTACCATCACTAAATATGAATCAATAACTTTCAACAACCCCATTCAAAAAAGATTTGGCAATGGTTCTTGTAGCAAAATTAAAGAATATGATTTTTTTAGTAAAGCTGTGTTGTTTACCAAAACTTGGCATGTTTCTTGAAAACAATACAAATCCTCTTCTCAGATGGTTATGCAGAAGAAGATGTTGCAATGTACTGGAAAGAACAGCCAGCCTCAGGATTGGAGAGCCTGGAGCTCCAACAATTCAGCATCATTGATTACAGAGCAATTGACAAGAAGATCAAGTTGGCAACAGGAACATATCAGAGACTCAGCTTCAGCTTCAAATTGAGCAGAAGTATTGGGTACTTCATCATTCAGACTTACTTGCCTGTGATGCTCATTGTGATGCTCTCATGGGTTTCCTTTTGGATCAATCATGAGGCAACACCTGCCAGAGTTGCTTTGGGTAAAATTTTGTCATTGCAATTTTCTGGTATTCCCTTTGAAAATGTTACCCAAGTTTGAGCATGAGTAACTTGACAATGAATTAAAAATCATTTCAGGTATCACAACAGTTTTGACAATGACTACCATCAGCACGGGAGTGAGGTCGTCTCTCCCAAGAATTTCTTACGTTAAGGCAATTGACATATACTTGGTGATGGGATTTGTGTTTGTTTTTGCTGCTTTACTTGAATATGCAGCAGTGAATTACACAAATGCCTGCAGAAATGCAAAAAAGCAAAAGGCCGCTTTAGCTGCAGAAGTGGCCAAGAAGAAAAAAGAAGCAGAAGAAGCAAAGAAAGCTGAGTTGGAGTGAGTAATGCGCTTTACTTATTACACAGAAACAGCTTTGAACCCAGAAACATTTTGACATTCAACTGGGAACTTCTGCAAGAGCCCAGAAGTGAAGTATTTTATATCGATTTTTTCAACCTCTTTATAGAAGGTCTGATTTGATCAAGCAGGCACAACTTTAACATGGTATGCGTCATAGCCAAAAGGGAAAAAGAAATTAGAATCCAAGGTTTGCATTTTTAAATGCAGTAGTTGGATGAGCTAAATTATTGGAAAATCTGCAGTTGAAAACTGTTCTTCTTTTTGGTTTAAATAAGTCCAGCTTTGAAAATTGCCTATACAGTATAATTTCATCTTAGAAAACATTAAAAAGTGAGGTTTCATTTTAAATGTTCTATCTTACAGTAGTAAATATATACAGTATCTATGCTCTTGTTGGTTAGAGTTTTCTATGACCACTTCTCGGGGCACACATGGTTCAAGAGGACCAAAGAACAAAATGGAAGGACTGCAACTACTGATTGTGATCTTTCTCTTCCAGAAAAATCATGCAAGAGGATTTTCAAGACAAGGCTGGCAATGAACTCTTCTTTGCTCTGCCAGCAAATTTATTACTCTCAGCAGAAGGGAATGAATCCAATGCCTACCAACCTTTCATGGATCCCTACCATCAGTGCCATTCAAGACACAGACAAACCCAGACACCAGAGATCATAAGGACCAGGAACTCTACCTGCTTTGAGTCAACAGTGGATGCTATGAGATCCAGAACCCCAGTGATGAAGAATCTATTTGTTCTCAAAGATGTCAGTGATATTGACAGATATTCAAGGTTCATTTTTCCTGCTTCATTTGTAGTCTTCAACATTTTCTACTGGGTATTTTACACCATGAAAGCAAATGAGAGTGAGCCTTGAATTAGTTAAGAAGCTACTAATTTAACTTGTCAGCCAAATTAATTTTGAAGAATGGTTTGCAATGCATTTGGCAAAGATGGGGGTTTCCTTAGTTTCTCTCTGTTTAAAAAAATTCCAAAATTTATATCTTTCTTTGAACATTCCACGATTTTTTGAATATCTCTCCTGAATATTCCATCATTTTTTGAAGGCTCTTGTTCCTTTCTGTGTTTGTCGGTCATGCATGGAATTTATTTGTCAAATGAGTTATTCTATCATTGATGGAAAAAATAGAAGCTTTTAGAAAAAGTTTCATGTTACATGCATGTTTTGATGAAGCAGGAGTATAGAGCAGAGTTTCTGGTTTTAAATATGGTGAAGAATTTGCAAACCATATAAAAATATACGAGGCATTGGAATACGTCAGTTGTCCATACTGTGATTTTCATTGGGCATGAGGAGGAATTCAATCAATGGCAGCAAAAATCATCAATAATTCTGGAATGGTTGAACAAAGTTCTCCGAACAGTTTCAGCAATTTTTTTCATAGAAACATAAAATTTCACTTGTAATACATACAGCAATATTAAAAAAGAAGGCACGTTGTATGACGTAAGAAAACATTTAGTATGACCATGGCACAAGCTTCATTGAGCAAGTCTGCATTCAATTCTCCTTCCTCAATAATCTTGTATTCAAACTTCTTGAATTGTCAAAAGTAGAAAAAATCCATGCATTTTGACAACTTGTTCTCTGTTATTCACTTAAAATGCTGCAATCATTGCATATGGGGAAGGCGCTTCCTACTACACATCATGGCGATGAGATTTTCATGATCACTAATAGTGTCAAAATTGTTGCTTGAAGAATGTTCATCATTGGATGCAGAGATATTCCTCAAGATCTACTCCAAACCTGAAAATGGAAGAAGACACACAATAAATTAAAAGAAGGATGAATTTGCCTGCAGAGATTCCCTGCAGTGCTGGTACACAAACCTACCTGCATGTTCATCTTCCAGAAATTGATCTTGCTGTTCTTCAAAATATAGTGGAATCTCATGACAAAAAGTATTGCTATTGCAAATAATTGCTCACAATGAAGTTGTTTTTTGGTTCCTGCCATACATAGCCACAATGTTGAAAGATTTACTCTTTTTTATACAAATTTCACACCACAGCTAGAATTATTTTTGTTTCCAAATGTCTTCCCTTCCAAAAACAAAGAAAAAACCTGGCCAGATGGACAAAAATACAGAGAAACCCCAAGATGCAGACATGATTGAGTGGTGCATCAAGAATGTCCCCAAGTGAAAATGTCCTTAGGATTCAAAATATATGCTTCTTGCAATTCAGTCTAGTAAAAATCACTTGGCCAGGAACCTATTGACGGTTTTATCCTGCAATGTCTGCATGCAGACTTGCAGAGTCAGTGTCTGCATGTTGGGCAATTATTATGCCTTTTTTTATTGGAAAATAAATGTCCCAATGTTGAATCATCCTCATGTTGAGGTGTCCACATGTGTTGGTCTCACTCTAATAGCCATTTTGAAGTCAGTTGCTGTCGTCAAAATGACTTAAAACACCTGCAATGCCATTTCAGGAAAACCTCAACTCCTGGTTCATTCTTCACATTCATAGATGACGCACGCTATGTCTGTTGCCACAACCATTTGGAACCAACATTTAAATATTATTCCCCAAGCCCGCGATTTTCCGTACCACGGCAAAGTACTAAAAAAGCCACCAGCACTGAAGTTGCACCCCGCACGCGGCGCCACCGCCACATTGACTCCACCACCATCACCCCAGGACCACACACAACGCATCTCGCTCACGACTTGTTCTGCCAATGAAAGGTCATGAAATCAGAGACGGAAGTGAGGAAAATTACTGGATTAAGAGTACTGAAACTTCACGAGTCAACACTCCACTTCGACCATTTCCAACAGGCGGGTCGGTTTCTTTCTCCTCCCGCGTATCAATTTTTATCAATTTGAAACTTTCACGGAATCTCAAATTTTGTATGACAAAAAAAATTTATTCAGTCCAGGGAGTGGAATCCCGTCACAATTCCGAATTTTGAAAACCCTAATGCAAAATGTATTTGCCACAACAATTTAAGATAACATTCATTTTGATGAGGGTTCTCTTCTCATAACAGGAAGCTGGGTCTGGCACAGGAGGACAACGAGCGCCTCTAGGACTTCCAATTGTTGGTGGTGTTTTTGTAGTGCTCTTGGGTGTGGCCTGTCTCATTGCAGCTGTAGAATTCGTGGGGGAGTCTAAGAGTGTTTCAGAAGAAGAAGGGGTGAGTCTATAACAAACATGAACACACTAGTGCTCACATCATCTCATTTGTCAGGGGCTAATTAGCCCTCTCTGGCAAAGCTTGATCTCAAAGTTATGAAATCAAATGAAGTGGTAAACACAATTGGCCTTTGGGGGCCTGATGTCAATACCTCAATCTTCTGTTTTATGTCAGTCAGGTCTTCCAATATAACAAATGTGTGCACACAAATAAATGTTGGAGCTCCTTCCTCAGTCAGGTTCAAACTGCAAGTGTCTGTTTTCTTCCTTGATTCTTCTCAGCTCCTGGTCCTCATCAATGGAAAGTTTTGGTCAAGGCTTTCCACTGATGTGTGAATAATCCTTTGTGGGAAAGTCCAGTTAGGTTCCTTCTGATTCACCATAAAAGAATGAGCCCTGGAGATCACTATCTCCAAGGCTGGCCTGTTGGTGGTTTCTTGGGAAACTTGTTTCTTTTTCAGCACATACATTTCTGTTTGATGTTTCTTTTCCTTTTCAGCTCTCAAAATTTCCCAAATACGATAGACAATGGGGAATTTTGTATGCCACATTGTCTGTTGTACCCTACTCTACCTGCCTTCCTTGGGGCAACATCTAGTCATCCCGAGCCAAGTTCCGAGTCTGCGGGCAACATCTGTTTGACCCAGGACATCATTGCTGTTATGTGTCTGCATTTTTCCACAAGACATATATTTCGGATGAAGTCAGAAAGGATCTGAAATTGGCTATGAAATGCAGTGGTTCCTCAAAACCAGTCAAAAAGAAAGATGACACCAGGGGTGCTGGAGAAGAGGAGGATGGTATGGACCAAGGGATAGCTGAACTGCTGTGAGAAAAAGAGATGTTGAATAGACAAACTCACAAAGCTGAAAAATGCGATATAGAATGGATGGAAAGTTAGAAAAAAGAAGTGATTGAATTGAAGATATGAATTGAAGATAAGAATTGAAGTTCCTTTTTGCGAGAGCGAAGTGTTAGATGTATAAATATGAGCTAAGTAAATCAGCTGGGACAAAGTCCAAGTTTGAACGAGTTGTATTTCGTTTGATGATAAACACTTGGTCAGAATTTCGGAATTCGGAGTTTTTGCAAGACGAAAAAGCTTCTCTGCTCGGAGATCAAACTTGGGTTCGGTTCCCAGGCTCCAGCAGAAGCTGTTAGAAATTTTCGGGAAAGACTGTCGTTTAAAAATTAATCTGGCGCCGAATTGTCGGCATGCCGAAGTTTTTTCCAACAACTGCCTGATTTCTTGAGCTTCTTGGATCAACTGAATAGTTGCATATGGTTCAATTTGCATAGTTTCAGTTGCTCGGAAAATTGACAGGCAAAAATGGTAACCACAGCCAGAAAAATTCTCCTCTTTTGTATCAAGTAGGAGAGGACTCAAATGTGGGGGGCATGCAAATCTTGGCTGAACTTCATCATGTTTGTGTCATGCTCTGAGCAAACTGCCTTTCCTCACATTGTGAATACAGCTGTGGTTTCTATTGTTTTTTTCTAAGGAGCAGAAACCAGGGTGAGAAAGAATCTCAGTGATAACTGCCAGTGCTGAGAGGGTTGAAATGCACATTGTTTTGGTTTTTGACATTCACAATTCATTTTCTTTCAAACAACTCTTGATTTTGTTTGTGGCACAAGTGACTGAACTGGAATCATGGTGAATGTTCTTCTCTCACTGAATTTTCCCAAATTAGTACAGTATAGCAAATTGGTTTGGTGTCCATGTTTCCAGTTCCATAATGCATATACTGGAATTTTTGACCCAGACAAACCCAGAAACTGGGAATCAAAAGGATCAGGAACACCACCTTTTTTGAGGCAAAATTTGATGCTGCTGTGAGATTGAGAACCCCATTTATGAAGAATCCCTTATTGTTATCCCAAAAATAAAATACTTCAGATTTCTATAAAATAT